TGAGTATAGTTCCCTGTGCTATATAGTAGGTCCTTGTTGGTTATCTATTTTATATATAGTAGAGCGTAAATGTTGAGTCTAAAAAAAATGATACAAATGAACTTATGTACAAAACAGAAATAGACCCACAGACATAGGAAACAAACTTATGGTTACCAAAGGGGAAGTCAGGAGTTTGGGGTTAAAATATACACAATTGTGTTTCTTAAACATCCTTTTCCCTGTGTCAAAAATTGTGTCAGGGGCTTCCCTGGTGGCACAGTGGTTGAGAGTCTGCCTGCCGATGCAGGGGACACGGGTTCATGTCCCGGTCCGGGAAGATCCCACGTGCCGCGGAGCGGCTGGGCCCATGAGCCATGGCCGCTGAGCCTGCGCATCCGGAGCCTGTGCTCCGCAACGGGAGAGGCCACAACAGTGAGAGCCCCGCGTACCACAAAAAAAAAAAAAAAAAAAAATTGTCACGCCTCCAGCACTGTGGTTTAGCAAAGGGCGGGCAGCCCAACTGCTTTACACATAACTCATGTCATTTTTTTAAAAGCCCTTTATAGAATGGGTATTGATTCATACACCATGAACCTGCATCTCTTTTATCCTGGCTTTTGCCTAGAAAGAACCCTTCCTGCCTCCACTGCGGGTACATTTTCTGGCTGGCGTCCTGCAGCTTGTAAAGGTAGTTCCTAAAACAGGCAGCCTAGTGTGGTTGGCAATGCAGAATTTCTAGAGCAGGTCCTGTCACTGTGCCCAAAGGGAAAAAAGACAAAAGCTTCAGGAAAGTTTATTTTCCTGCTTTTCTGTCAGCCACACAGTCTGCCCTGGCCTTACGGGTGGACAAAGTGAATGGTCTTGATGAACAATAAACATAGATGTTCAGAGAGCAGTTAGGCCAGCAGCATGCTTGGTTCATTGCCTTAGCATTCAAAGGTGGCTAGACAATAGCATTCAGTCTTTAGATGCTGCCTGGTCCACTTTCCCCATTTACCATACATGGAATTGGAGGCTCAGAGGATTTTTTTGACTTTTCCAAGACCATAGATTGTAACCCATATCTCTCATTGACCATGACCCTGTACTCTGTCCATATCTAATTTTATAATTGCATATATAATGTACTCTCTGAGGAAATTACTTTGCGCTTGTGCTGTGTGGTAGGCTGATAAACAAGGGAAAGCACTAATAATATCTCCCAGTAACTGAGCTCTTGGGAGGTTTTAGGCACAGGGCCAAGCACACGTACATGTTGCCTCAAGACAATGTACGTGGTGTTGAGTAAGTGTCAGTTCATGTTAAATAGCAGATGTCTACCCTTATGAATGAGCAGACACACAAGATTGTATTAAGTGTGACCTAGTAAGTGAAAATATCACCCTCTGAAATCCTAGGGAAGAAGGCTGTGAAGTAGCTGCATTCCCTTGAGGATATCCAGTTGTATCTTATAGCATTTTCTTGTGTTCAGAATATTAAAAGAAATCATGAAAAGCCTCAAGGCCCCAGATCTGTGGCAGCCCTTATGAGGGTCTTCATACAAATATTGATCAAGAGGGACCCACAGGTGTGGGGCTGGCCTGAGTGCCACCTCTGGGCCCTCCCAGGGCCTGGAGACTGTCTGCTTAGAGCTGTCATCTCTCCCCTTCAATAAAACACACACACCAGTCATCCTTGGCTTTGACAAACAGATGACATGGCAGGGCCCAGGGCCTCTGAGATCTAGGGCAGGGCCAGGTGAGAGCTGACCGTTGCCTTCCTCAGGGCACCCACTGGACATTCAGAGCAACACAGTTGGTCATTACCAGCACTATGGGCACATAAATGCCCAGGATCTAGTTCTGTTTTCTTCTGGAGGTTTTTCATTGGAAATATAGTAGAGGGCTCAGATGGGTAAGGCACTCTGGGAAGGTTACAGACCTCAGCACTCTTTGAGAAGTTTACCTACTCAGAAAGCTCAGCGACTCACGCTGGGTTGCTTAGAAATGTGTGGCAAAGTTACATAGTTTTGTGAAGTTGGGCAAGTGAGTTTTTCTAGACTTCCATTTCTCTTATCTGTGTGACCAGAGGGTTGGGCTGGATAAAAGGTTATAACAGTGTTTCTCTCTGGATAGTAACACAGGGGGAGAACTTCTGAGAAGGCTGTTGTGGGTCTCTATTGTAGAATTCAGATTATTTTTGTGGATCCAGGAATGGCTGCTAGTGTTTACATCAGTCTGTCCTTATTTATCATCCTGAGTGCATCTTCTTGACCAGCTTTACATGGAGATAGATGTGACACGTTAAATCATTTGGCATATTGCCTTCCCAGTCTTCTCAGAATGTGTACCCTCTTCCCATCAGAAGAAACAGAGGCAGCTGGCTTCATTTCCAAAGAGGTGGTGTTTGGACACAAATTGGACTTCATTTCAGGCCTCTGTGGGAGAAGGGATTTTTGCCTTTACTTTCCTCGAGGTCAATTTCCAGATCATGAGCGATGGTCCCACAAAATATAAAGGCATCCTATTTTTCGTGAAGTCTTTTTTTCTCAGGGAGATTGAAATAAGCATAGCAGATATGCTTTTAATGTGTGTTTACCTGAATCTGTAGAATAAAGATCTGGTTCTTTTTCCATCCAACCACTTGTTTTGCTATGAAAGACTCCTTGTATAGTTCAGAGGTCTATTATAAAGTGTAGGAAGTGTTGCCAATTGCAAAGTGGATCTAAGTTGGCAAAACAAACAGAAGGAGGAGGATGTCATATGATATGGTAAGTCAATGTCATTATTTATATCCTGCTTACCAAACCAAACCAGCAAGTTAACTTGGCTGCAGGTTCATTTGTCCGAGCAAACGGTCAACCAGGTGCCACCAATGGCCACCCTGCTCCTGTGCAGAGGAGAGGCTCCAGTGAGTTGGATGAACATGTTCTGATAGGGTCTAATTCAACGATAGTTCAAAATTCCTGTTTAAATTTGACCACTATTAAAATTAATTACCTCAGATCCAAAATTATGCTTCAGACTACCGTGAGTAACAGCTAAGTATTTTTCCATCATGCTGGTCACTTAAATTCCTTAGTCTGTCTCCTCGTGCTTGAAGGCTAAGATTATGTGTCATGTCAAAGGTTCCTTTCTACTCATAGTTTTGAAATAATATGTTGTGGAATATTAGGGAAACATAATGTGTCTTTGTTGGGGTCTTTTAAATAATATTTCTAGAAAGGGCAACCACTTAAAGTATTTTTTCAGAAGGGCAGTTTTGAGGTTCTTTTCAACCTTTCCCTTCTCTCCACTTCAAAAGATTTCTATTATTACACCTTAACCATGCAAGACCATAAATTTATCATACTGACCACTAGCCTGTATGAACTATTCAGGCACATCATTTTTCTTTGTGCTCTAAGCCATGAAAATAAATGACACAGTGGCATGGGAACTGATGAACTCCTAAGCCTAACACAGCCTTCTGCATGCCTCCCTGTACCCTCATTTCATTTGATGGAAGAAACCCTGAGGGTGAATGGGAGTAGGTAATTACCAAAAATAATGCCAGACGCATTTAAGTAATTTTCCAGGAAAATGTTGAAATATAAAATGTCTAGTGAAAACATGATTAAGGAGGAAACACAATCTATGGATTTCAAGTTGCCATAGGAACACTCACAGCCCCCTTTAGTGAGCAGAGAGACAGGTGATCCATTAAGTCTTTTCTCCTAATTGAATATAAAACTGCATTAGTCATGCTGACTCACAGTTTGTTCCTGTCCTGGCTAGTTTTTGCATATTTTGTGATGTTCTTTTCCATAGGCTTTGAATCAGAGGTTTATCCATGGCCCTTAGGGTTCTTTTCCCTGGATCTCTGGATGTATTTGATGTGTTAAGGGTTTGCAAACACCAGCATGGCTGTTTTTCCCAGACCCAAACTCTCAGGGCAGGAAAGGAGCAGGGGACCCCTCAGTGAGTTCCATGCAGCATTGTTTTGATTTTTGAACCTTGCTCATGTATGAGCTATTAAAAAATAATAAAAAATAAACACAAGGCTGTTTCCTGCCCCTGTAATATGGCAAGTTTGTGTGGATACTGATCATTTTATCAAATACATATTACAGAGGAAGTTATATGACATGACATTATAAATATAGTTGAATTAAGGCAGCTTGAGCTCAGCCTTTTAGCCACTGAGCCATGGGCCTTTTATACTGTGGGAGCTTCTATACATTCATGGTGGGAGGTTATTTTGGGGAAGATAAAAGAAGTCAAGGTGTTTTTCTTCTGTTATAAATATTGTGAAGTGTGCATTGTTTTTTAAATCTCTTGGAAAAATATAGGTAATCCATGTAATGGATTACCTATAATGGATGTCCAGCAGACATTCATGTAGCAATGGTTACTGCTAGGAATTGTTATATTAGATAGGAATTGTTACTGCAATGGTTACTGCTAGGAATTGTTATATTGTTATATTAGATACCCCAAGGCTCTGTGTTTTTTATTGCTGGCCATTGAACGAGTTGCTGACACATTATTAGTCAATTTTTGTCAAAAATACTTACTTTCCATTATTTTGCATGATCAAAATAATGATTTTGGGGGCTGCTTGTTCCTCAAATGTGTCTTGTATACATTTCTTTGATTATCAGAGGAAAAGATGCTCAGTGAGATGAGGAATATGCTCGTTACAAACATAAGTATATACACGATAATCTTTAGCTTTCCTCTTATAGTAATGGAAAGAAAAAAATAAAAGCCAAAAAGTTCTGTTTATAACTTTGAGTATTATAATACAGAATTAAAAAAATTGACCCCCTGACAATGTTGACTATAGTAATGGTAATGCAAATTTCAATAAAGAGAATCCCTACTGTCAACATTTTAAGAATTCCACTCGCTGATTCCAATGTCAAAGAGATCTGATTGCTACAAAAATAAAAACCTTAATTCAGATAAAAGATGCTTCTGATTTCCATATTTACGTTTAATGATTCCATTCTCATCACAGTCTCCTTTCTCCCTCCCAACCCCTCTTCTGCCCACCAGACACTGCATGGACCTCAGTGCAGCACAATGGCTCCCACTTGGTTAGTGTCAAAAGCTCAAATGGAGAAAGCCCCCATCCTGTGTTTTTCAAGTACACAGCCAGCATGGACCAGCTCCAGGCCATAATTGACTATGTGGACCACTGCCAACAGAAGCTGACTTTCCACTGCAAGAAGTCAAGGCTTTCAACTCCCCATGGTGAGTAATCAGAGTAATCAGACATTGTGGGCTGTAGTCCCCACAGGTCACAATGGCCTGCCAGAGATGCATGAGAATCTGTGCCCATAGTGCCCGGATCACATCTGAAGTGACAGGGATACTCTTCTTTGGAGCAAAGACCAAGGTCTTTGCTCAAAGCCAGGAATGATCTGAAGTTTCTCCCTAGACTCAACTGGGCAACTGAGCAGTAAAAGCCTCCTAAGGAGGCCCCTGGAATGCTCAGTGCTCATCTGCCATGAAGGGCAGGGACATCTTAATTCTGTCTTATCTCGGGAAGGATTGCTAACAACAACATGGCTTAGTGATCTGGAGGTGATTATTCCATGAGATTCTTTTTCATAGACAATGCAATTAGTGTCTTGGCTAATTGTTAATTGGGGAACAATGTTGGTATCCCCGCCTCTTTCACACAACGTAAGTGCTACTAGTTTATTTCTCATATCTTTTCTTCTTTTGAAAATTCTTATGTTTAATTTTATATTTTTTTCCTTTGAAAAATCCCATTCTGTTGGAATGTGCAACCTCACTGCCTTCATGAAACTGCTTGGCTTTCTGGAGGCTGGCCTGCCCCTTCTCTGATTAGGCATCTGGGGAGTGGAATGAGCAGAGGGCAGTAGGCAGGTTCTCTGAGTTCAAGCTCTTAGGACTTAGACAAGTCCCTGTCACTCAGCAGCTATGGGACTCAGGAAATCATTTTATCTTTTTTGAGTCTTCAGAGCTAAGACATTAACCTTGCCAGAACTTAATTGCACCACATCTATAAATGGCATGAAGTAAAGGCTACTTATTTGCATCTCTCCAGTTTATTGAATTTATAGTTAGTGCTAGTTAGTACTTACTGTTAGTTGATTGATGCCAAATAGATCACTGAGCTAAAATTGTATGTTCCCAGAAGAATGAGAAAGCTGCCTCCAGGAGAGTAAATTATTGTTATGGGGTGTCTAACCAGGGAAAACGAGGCAAAGACAGAGTAGTGTTGGAACCAACCACTAACAAAGTCGTAAAACAAAACCACCCAGTGAGTCATGGAGCAAACGCATACAAACTAGCAGATGGTCTATTCCAGAACCTGGACACGACCCAGATCAGCAAAGGATTCCCGCCTGGAGGGCCAGTGTCTGCCTATTGATTTGCATGTGGTTGCTCAATTGTTAGCCCTTCGATATGTTAATAAATATATAAAACAGCAACAGCAGCAACAAAAACAAATATTTAAACAAGTATTTAATTGGGGCTGGGGGGAAAGATGGAAAGAGAAAAGACTTATAAACTTAATAAACACCTGCTAAAAAAACAAAATAAGGGCCTTAATTAACCATGCATGCCAAGTTATTTGCATTTCTTATATGCTGCTACTGGAGGATTGTTAGTACAAACTTAATTTAAACAAATTCACTACAGACCTATATATTTCCAGAAGTGTTTAATTAAGGTTGAGTTGAGGCAGGCAAATAGTGTAGCCCAATACACCTTAAAATTGTTGCACTAATTTGCTCGGTATTAACAATAGACACAAATGGGTGTGCAGAGCTTTGATGCTACTCTTGTGTGGAAGGAGTGAACACACCAAAGCCTGGGTCCCTCATTAGAAGGTTGCAATGTGAAAACAGTACAAGGGGACTGCAGTGTGGGGAACAAGTAGCTTAGGAATTTTATAGGGTAGATTGGGGAATGTCAGTCAAAATTCAGTTCTCTCTCAAGAATTTTCCACTGTTCAAATTCTCAGAAGTTATCAGGAGACTGAGGAGGTGGTAATCTTGAGAGGAGATATAGCAAGTCTGGGGCCTCAGTGCAGCAGCTCTTGTGTAAGTTTTGTTTTCCAAGAGGGCCAGGGAGGAGCAGAGGGCCTAGGATCTTGCTAGGGTTCTGAAACATTTTTCCTTCAGCATCTTTAAGGTCTCTGTGTTACATATAGTTTCAGGGGATATGATTACAGGTGGCTAAAGAGGAAGTTGTATGACAGTAAGTGTTGACTCTAGGAAACCATTTGGTTGCCATACTATGAATGCTTAAGGTCATTGAGGATTGTAGCTGTGGCTGGAGAGGACAGTGAACTATGGGCTAAAATAATTGAGGAAGTAGAGCCGTGCACCCTGGTCATTGATATCTCTCCTATTCCTTTTCATTTCAGCCTCTAATTCTTCTTCATATTATCCCTAATTATTTCTTATGCAAATTCTCTAAGTTACTCAAAGGAATCTTGCATGGAGCCACATGCATTTTGTACCTTTAAAAAACACTTAATGATTTTCACTGTAGAGAGAAAAATGTAAACACACAGTAACACACTGGCATATAATGATTTCTTTGCTCTTCAAGTCGATGAAAGAGGATGTTGAATAATTACATTTTTAAGATGGAATTTTGAAAAATGTCTATTAAGTACCTATTAAATAATACACTAAAAAGATCTTCCACCCCCTAAAGATGTTTTCAACACATTAAAAAAAAAGATGGTTGATATTGATTTCTTGGCACACGTGTCACCCACTGGGCCTGCAGTGCGTGGTAATGAATGCAGTCCATGTGTTTACCAGCTGAGAGGTTGTCAGCAGAAGCAGAAGTCTCATTGAACAGGGAGCCATAATGAGCAGTGGCAATTGTAAGTTAGGGAGAAAGTTATTTCAGATTCTTAGTGGGGGCCTGATGGGGACAATTTAAGAGTTTGAAAGAGCACATGAAAATGGACAGGCATCTTTGCAGAATTGATGTCACTTCCGTTTCCCCTCCTGCCCTGATTCTCTGTTTACTAGGGACTGTTTCCCCTCCACCCTCCCGTGTGCGCCATCTTTTCTGATCTTCCTCCCCCAGGTGTACTGTAATCCCACACTGGGGCCTCAGCAGCATCTTTAGTGTAAATGAGCAGTCCTGCAGAGCTGAGGCAGCCTCTGGCCCTGTCACTTAATTATACGTTGCACTGAGGAGGGGAATGAGCTGAAGAACTTGGTGTAGTTGTCTCGGACTTGTTCAAGCCGAAGACACCTCAGGCATGAAGAAGGCTTATCAGTGCCATTTCTTTAGTTTCCAAATACAGAGCAACCCATTCAGTATAAGAAGAAGCACGTCTCCAAGAAACTTTTAGGACATGCTAGGAAGTACATGTCTTAAACACATGCCAGTGTTTTTAGCTAATAAATAAAGTGAAAGAAATCCATATTTCTTATAATAACATTAAACATTTTAATGGCATTTTAGGATCTGAAACAGATTTTAGATTCAGTGTGTAAATTACTGTGGTTTTTATTTTGATGACAATTCTTTCTTGAAAGTTATTTCCAAAGAAATTATGTAAGTGGAGTCCTCAAGAAAAGTTTGTAAATATCGTGCCTGAATGAGTTAGGGACTACATGCTCATTTTCTGATAAAAGAAAAAAATTTGGTGACAACGTAAGTTTTGACATTAAAATATATATTTTTAAACAGTTGGAAGTCCTCTTAAAAATGATCCTATTGCACAGTTAAAATATGCTCACTTCTAAAGTAGTCTCTCTATGTTTTAAATAGAGGGAAGTAAAGGAACTATATTGGGGAGGCAGGCAGTGGGGGGCAAAGTAGGTGTCACCTTTCTCGTACTTGTCTTTCAGATGGAACCCCAGTGAGCTGGTGGGTTGGAAGAACCAATGAAACACACACTTACTGGGGAGGTTCTCTGCCTGATGCTCAAAAATGTACTTGTGGATTAGAGGGGAACTGCATTGATTCTCAATATTACTGCAACTGTGATGCTGACCGGAATGAATGGTGATTTCCATATAATTTCCCTGTGCAAACTGTAATTTTTTTATTGCTTAAACGATGTACCTTAGGCAGACATTGGACACAACAGTATAATAAAGAGAAAAAATTAAAGTATTCCCTAGCAAGTTAAAAGTATAAGCTTTGATGTGTATGATATCATTAATCTGAAGCCTAAAATATTAGGTAGCTATTTTTGTTTACTTGTGAGTAACTAATCATGTCCATTTTATTTTTCTAGTAAGACAAAATAGGAATTAATGTTTCCCATTCACTGAAAGTGAAATATCTGACTTCTTAAAGTTAAGTTAATCCAGTTAATAAGATGACCACCCCTCGGCTGACCCAGGGCTGTTTGCTGACCTTCCTAATTCCCAGTTTCGTTTTCTTAAATGGCCGCACAGGGGAAACCGGACAAGGCCTTGAGTCCATGAAAGAGGATATACAGAATACAAAGCTCTCCATGCAACTGGAGGTCTCAGAAGGCTGCATACCCAAAGAAAAGGTAGACAAGGACAAATCATCCAGTAGGCACTCTGGGTAGAAAAAAATAGCTCCCTGAAAACACATGTCTACAGACTTGCCCTCACACAGATTTGGAGCCCAAATTTATATGACTTGGATGGTCCTCAAATTAAGTTAACATAGCCACAGGTTGGCAGCACCACTGGCTCATCATAGGATTACATGAGATTCTCACTGGAGGCCTGCCCTCCCCCTTCACACAGACCTCACAGGATTCCCACAGATAAAATGCCACCAAAAATAAGCTCACAATCCAGGGTTATACAACACCAGAGGACAGATGTGGGAGGCAGAAGAAACCACAAAGTGTAGATGAGATGCCTAAAAGTCTCAGATCATGGATACATTCAAAACATAGATAAAATAAATATGTGAGCTGCTTGAAAAATCAAAACTGGAATTGAAACATGAGAAAGTGATCAGATCCTATTAACAAAGATGATTGTGATTTGCAAAAGAATATTAGCCAATGATAATATTTACCCAATTTAAGATTTGTTGGATCAGATATTAGACACAAGTGATCAGAAAATTGGTGAAATGGAAAATATGTGTAAATAAATGACACAGAACAGAGAGAAGCAAAATGGGATCGAGAAAAGCGGTGACATGGAGGAGTCATGTGGAGAAGATTGAAAATGTGTCTGATTAAAGTTTCAGAAGAGAAGATTTGAGATAATGAAGAAGAGGAAATATTCAAATAGCAGAAAAATGTCCAGATTTGAGAAAACATTAGAATACCAAGCAGGATAAATAAAAGTAGATCCATATCTAGACACACCATGGTGAAATCAAAGAACACCAAAGAGAATGTTGAAAGGAGCAGAGATGAAAGCAAGACTCTTAAAGGAAAGACAGCCAGCCAGCAGACACCCCTGAACAGCCCAGGACCCAGCCCACAGAGGGCGGGACACACCCCTCACAGGGCGGAAGTGAAATAACTGTCAAACTCCCAGTGTTTACCCAGCTGATATTTTAAAAAGTGGAATAAAATTAAAATCCAGACAAACAGACACTGAAGAAATGTACCACTAGCAGACTCCACAAGTGGAATTTTTAAGAATGGTTTTCAGAATGAAAGAAAGTGATCTTATAAGGAAGGTCTCAGAGGCAGGAGGAAATATTGAGGAAAAAAAATTGTAAACTCAGAGGTTAAAAACTAAAAGAAAATACTAGACACTGATAACATGTAACTGTATGTATGAATTTGAAACACAAGAAAACAGTCAGATCCTATTAACAGAGATGATTGTGGTTTACAAAAGAACTAAAAGAATGTTTAAAAATAAAAATATTATTGAAATTTAAAACTTGTTTTGTAAATATTTATTAGAATTAAATTGCTTAAAGTTTATGTCTTAAAATTTGTGTAACCTCTAAATAATAGAAACAAAGCATGTAATATTCAAATCAGTAGAGGGAAGAAAGAAAAAATGGGATTTTAAAAACTTAGTTAATACAAAAGAAGATAGAAAGTGAGAATTTAAAAAAAGAGAAAGCAATAAGTACAAGATAAAAACTGTGTGAGTAATCATGCACAATAAATATGACAAAAATAACCATTTAAATCCAGATGTCATATTGAATTAAAAACAAATATATCTTCTTTGTAAACCTGGGCATATTGAAAACAAAATGCCAAAAAAAAATTACGAGGCAAATATACGAAAAAGTAAGTAAAATTTTAAGGTTTAATGTGGACAAAGATCACTATTACTATAAGATATTGCTTAATTTCACTATAAAAAAACAACAATGCTAATAAACTTGTATGTTTCTAATAAAAATGACTCAGAATGTATACAGAAAAAAATTGACAAAACTGAAAGAAGAAATTTACAAATCAACCATGGTAAGAAGAGGTTTAAATGTACATCTGTTTGTAATTGATAATCAAATGAACAAAAATTAGTAAGATAGAATATTTTCAAATGAAATTAACAACTTGATTTGTTGGGAACATAAAATTGTAGAGTACATAATTTTCTCAAGCACATGTAGTGCATTTTTGCAAACTGATTTTCTCAATATTCCATAAAGCAAAACTCAAAAAATTTTACAGTAGTTGTTATCCTATGAACAGTTTCTCTGATTACAATGCAATTAGGTGAGAAATGAATAATAGAAAGATTAAAAGATATACACGAGGCAATTCAAACCCACAATTGGAAAGACTGGAAACAAGGAAATAAAGATACATTACTCATAGAAAATATCGTTTTCAACAAAGAAAACCTAAGAGAATATACAGAAATATTATTGAAATTAATGAGAGTTTGGTAAGGCTACTTACTAAACCTTAGAATAACTGGATTCTTATCAAAAATGTGTTACTATAAGAAAATATAAAAACTACTAGCAGAAGGAACAAAAGGGTATAGTACCTTGGAATAAAGATAACAAAAATATGCAAGACTTTTGTAAAAAAGACATCATAAAACTTTATTATGAAAATACAAGAAGACCTAAATAAATGGAGACATCACACCACTGCCATGAATAGGAAAACTAAGCATCTCTCCTCCAAATAATTTTCTTGATTCCATTTAATTCCAAACAAATGCTAAACATTTGTTTATTTTTGGGGGTAGTGACAAACAGGTTCTAAAATTTATTTGGAAAAGAATGGTACATGAATAGCTAAGACGATTCTGAAAATGGAAACAATGTGGGGAGACCGGCCCTACCAGACATGAATAAGTCTTATGATGCCGCAGTAATTAATACAGTGTGAGTTTGCCGAAGGGATGAGCCAGTAGAACAGCTAACCCCAAAAAAGAGTCTGGGAGCTTTCAAAATGTGTAATTCTGGGTGATGAAAATTATCTTGTCGCCAGTCTCTCTTTCTCCCCAGCAATTATAAAACTTAAAGTTGACCCAGTATTTCTCCCCTGCAGCTTTCCCAACAACTCAAAGTAGTCAAAGCTCCATTATACCTCAAAAAAAAGTCTACTGAAAAACAAACAAACAAACAAAAAAACCCAGAAGAATTTCTAGAGCATTAGAAACTAAAACCAAAAAAAGGTGGATTTGGAAGTTCTCTTACTGAATGTTTAAAACTGTTTGTGAGAAATTTTCATACCTAGGTATTCATGCAATCTTTACAAATTTTGGAAACAATTGAGAAGCAAGAAGAAAACAGATGTAACTAAAAATTAGGCAGTTTTGAATGAGTCTGGTGAACATGGCATATAATATCTTACATAAAGCATGGACAGTGGGAATGACCTGTACAAATAAAGAATTTTTAAATAAGAAGAGTTTAAAATTTTCTCAGATTCAGGAAGGTACTTTGCAAACAACAAAAGGACAAAAAGACTTATGATGCTATCTGCCTTAAGGCACACTACATGCATTATGATTTTTTTAAAGTTTTTTTCAGGGCTGTGAATGCATTGTCAATGTTAAAAACAGAATTAAAATGTAGCTTTTTGCTATATAGAAAGTGTAGCTTTTAAAGGGCTCCTTAAGGGCTTCCCTGGTGGCGCAGTGGTTGAAAGTCCGCCTGCCGATGCAGGGGACGTGCGTTCGTGCCCCGGTCCGGGAAGATCCCATATGCAGCGGAGCGGCTGGGCCTGTGAGCCGTGGCCGCTGAGCCTGCGCGTCCGGAGCCTGTGCTCCGCAACAGGAGAAGCCACAACAGTGAGAGGCCCGCGTACCACAAAAAAAAAAAAAAAATGCTCCTTAAAATTCAAAGATCCTCAATGAAGAACTTATGCATTTACATTTTTCCTCTAAGATGTTCTACCAAAATAGCAATCACGGGAATTAAAATACTATTTGTAATGTTTACTGATATTAAATACCAGGAATTGATTTGGTGTGCTCTCCCTGTGTTTATAATAAAATAAGTTTCCAGACTGACCCCCTCCCGCATAATCCAGTGACATCTTCTAGCTTGTGAATACCGTTCCCAACAAAGTCAGGTGTTATGTGCTTGGGATGAAGCCTGTGTACTTCTAACAGCAGGAATTGCAGGGGCTTCACCAGATAAAGCCATGTTGTTTAATTCAGTCTGATTTTTTGATGCAATCTGATTTTTAAAAATTGTTTCTTAAATTTTAGGGTTTTATTTCATATTTTTCATATCTTACCATATGCACTTCCAGTCACTTTGTTCAAATTTTTAAACAAAATAAAAATCTTAATAATTTTACATTTTCTAACTTAAAAGAATATTTCGATGCCTAGCAGAATTGGAATGATTAACTATTAAGTTAGGAAGACTTTTTTTGCAGGAAAGCTGTCAGGTTGAACCATGTGAAACAGCTGATTTTTTGACCTGCAAAAGTGGCAGTTTCAAATGTTTCAACTTGTATATACAAGAGTGAGTGGTGGCTTTGTAATTATTTGGAATTAAAACTTACTAGGTTCTACACGGAACAATAAATTAGACAAACTAGTATTTGTTCATAAATCAGAAGTACGTATGTAATTGAAGTATACAATGAAACATATGAACAGCTTACAAGGTATAGAAAAACCTTCCTACTTTGTCCAGAGAGGACGGTGGTTGTACAACCAACTTACCAGCCAGGTCCTCTGGCTCCTGTTCCAATCCTATTGTATTAAACCATAGATATTAATATGTCCCCAAATAGTCACTTACATGATGATATTATTGGTATTGTTATTATTTATAACATCCACTGGGGGGCATTGATGGTGGGTTTTATGTTTACATCCCCAACACACAGGGCCTGGCAAATAGAAGCATAATAAGTGTTTGTCGAATGAATGGATGGTGACAATCTTTGGCAAAGCACTTTCCCATGCATTAGCCCATTTATTAATTTTAAGAATATATTGTATCATATCTTCATCATGGTTTTGAATCAGTATTTTGTTTTGATTTTGTTTTTAAATTTATGGCTTCAGCAAATAAGGAAATGCCTCATAACCACAGTAGGAATTTCTGAAACTTTAGTAAAAAAAAAAAAAGTCCAAGTATTGAAAACCTAGGTCTTGTCAGTCAGGTGGTTTTGTTTTTTGTCTTTTTTTTTTTTTTTTTTTTTTTTTAATGAAGGAAGATTGCTGTTGCTTCTGTAAATTCTGCATTTAAGTATTACACAGTGGCTGAATTGGAAAGAACAATGAGCTGCTAATTGCACTGAAATGTAATCTCATGCCTGTATCCATGACCATAATTTTGGACCTGCCTGCTTTCTTCTCTATGGTCACGTAGATGAACAAATGTCTCTGGTCCTCAGAAGACCTCATTCAATATATTAGTATGTTTGTAAGTGTTCAGATGAGATGTTTGATTTCCCTACTGTTATGTACTTACAAATTTAGCTTAATACCCCTTGAACTGCAATCAAAGACTATTACTCTTCTGTACATTATTCAGAATAATGTTAAGGTGGTTGTATTTGTTTTCTAGGACCAGCAACACAGTAGTCCTTTCCCATAAGAAGCACTTGCCGGTCACTCAGGTTGTGATGAGAGACACAGGGCGACCACATTCTGAAGTGGCTTATACACTGGGGCCTCTGCTCTGCTCGGGGGACAGTAAGTAGTGGCAAGAGGAACCGTCTTCATCCCTGCTAATACATTTCAATCTTTTAAGAGAAATCGAACTGCCTGGGTTCATAAAAACACTGTCTGTACTGATAATCTGTACTTCATTAGGAATGTATTAACTTTATAAAATAAGTGTATATTGTTAATGTAATTGAGAAAAAACATATTACCTCTGGATTATGTAGAGGTATCTTTTATATGACATTTACATGAGACTGTGCTGCAAAGATTCATGGAATCATCTGAAATATATCACTTGTTCAGCAAACATCTAATATGTACCTACTAAGTATAAGGCACTTTGCTGAATGCTGAGATGCCTGAAATTGGTAAGATAAGGAGAAAATGAGAGGACAGAACCCATCAAGTGTATCTAGTCATTAATGCCTTCTGACAATTCTGAATTTTTACACAGGAAGTCTCGATGCTCTTAACTCCACTTACCCCTCCAACTGCATCTTGTGTATCCTTCATGCCCCCAAAATAACTGAAATAAAATATATGAGTTCTATTTTTAATTTTCAAACTTCTACCCTCTCTTGAATATCAGGCCTTCTCCTCCATCTCGTCCATTGCTCCCCAGAAACTGCTTTTTCCTGTCACCAATGAGAACTCAACATTTCTAAATCCAATTCTTATTCCCTGATACCATCTGAGTTGACCTGTCAGCAACTTTGGATTCCTCCCATGATTCAAACTTCTTTAATTCACTTTCTTTACGTGGTGGCCAGCATACCACAAAATTTTCCTACCCTCCTCTCCCCAACCTTCCTTCACCTCGCCAGCAGGATAACGTTGGGGTTCCCCAGGGCTCTATGCTCCGCCCTCTCTCCTCTCTGCTCTCAATTGGTGATCTTCTCCCATCATCTCATGGCTTTAAATACGGCATGGGCATCAGTGACCTCCACGCCTATACCTATACCTAGTCTTCCTGAACTCCCAGCTCCTGCATCCAGCTGGCTATTCCGTACTTCTTCATTCCAATTGGCATTTCAAACCCAACTTGTCAAAAAAATGAGAAAAGAAAAAGAAAGCATTTCCACACCAACCTTCCTCAAATCAATGCATAGCAACTCCATTCTTCCTGTTGCTTCTTAGACTGAAAACATTACAGTCACTCATAACTTCTCTTTTCTATCATAACCCATATCTAATTCATCAGCAAATCTTATTGGTTCTAACTGCAAAAATGGACCCAGAATTTATCTCCATTACCACCTGTACCTGGATTGTTGCTGTGGCCCCATAACTGGCCTACCTGCTACTGTCTCTGCCCACTTAGCTGATACTCCACACAAGAGCCAGAGGGAATAAAATCAGGTCACGTCAGTCCTCTGCCCCAAACTCTCTTCTGGCACTCATCTCAGAGGAGAGGCCAAAGTACAATGTCCACCAAGGCCACAGTAGCCATGTTGCCCTCTGAGCCAGGCAGTACCACAGTGGGGCCTGTGGAACCACAACCCTCCCTGGGGCCCCATAGGAGGTGTTGCCATGTGAGGGAACCCTGGCATTTCTGAACCTTGCTATTGGAAAAAAAAGAGGGTCCTATTTCAGATAATAAAAATACTGAGATGCAGATAGTCAAAATGTAGAAAGCCTATGAACGTGCCTTGACTCGATGATAGTATAGTTATTTTTCTCACTCATAACATAAATATGCAAACCACAGTTCTCTTTCTGGATAAGGTGAAGCAAATACAACCCACCCCGTCTCTCTCACTGAACTCACCCATAAAACCTGGACATGAAGATAACTGCATGAAGCTGTTATCTCAGGACTCTGGAAAGCAAATAGCAGGGAAGAGAAAGCAAAATTCACCATTTATTTTTTCCTCCAGTATCTCTCAGCCACTGGGTCCCAGATGGAGAGAGTCCCAGAAGAAGTCCTCTAGTCCTGTTTGGAGGAGGGGACAGGGAGCTCCTAACTGTGAGAGAGCACAGTAGTCTCATTTCTCCCCTTCTCTCTGTTTTCTGAGGTTCCAGTTCCCAGGCAGCCCCATGGCAATAGTGGTAGAAGCTGCCTCAGAAACACACAAGAGCCAGAACTCCAAGGAAAGGCATCTTCTGCTCTGGACAGGGGAGCCCTGACTCTACGACAGTGGCAGACTCATGTTACTTTTGTTTTTTTTTCTCTGTTCACCCATCACTAGGCAATGGACATATGTACAGGTGCAGGAGTGAATAGGAAAGCACAATAAATCAGGCTGAATAGAGCCCTAGTTTTCTGGTTGTATGATTGAAAAGGGAGCTGCAGGGAATTGGAAAGTATCTGGAAGAGCACAGAGAGGGAAGAGTTCAAGAGAATGATGCCACAAGTTGTCTATGAAGTCCTGGGTTCACCTCAGAGCTACACATGCCTGGATCTGCTCCTAATTATAGGCCAAAGTTGAGAACTGAAGAGGCTACCATCCAGGACTCAGACTGGCCACTGAGTGGTGCAGAAGTGAGGCAGAGTTGAGTAGTACTGCAAAAGCTTTGAAAACTGGACAGCCATAGGAACCATGGACCATGCACGGAGGACAGGTTGGAATGTGTGGCCAGATCCTAACCAGGACAGCTGCCTGCACAATAAGAAAAATATCAACATGCACTTTGAATTTAAGCAAAGCCCAGAGTTTGTTAACATAGTATTTTAAAGATCTAGGAAATAGTCCAAAATTACTTCGCCTACAAAGAACCAGAAAAATCCAAGTTTGTATAAGCAAAGGTAATCAACAGATACCAATGACACAGAGGTTAGAATTATCTGATAAAGACACTAAAACAGCTATTACACAAAAACTCTAACAAGTAATAATAAATGCTTTTGAAACAAATAGAAAAAGAAAAAGTTTCAGCAAAGAAATAAGATATATAGAGGAGAGCTAAATGGAAACTTTAGAAATAAGAAGTACGGTAATGGAAATGAAAGATGCACTGGATGGGTTAAATAGCAGATTTGAGATGAAACAGTCAATGACACTGAGGATAGATAAATAGAAAGTATTCAATCTGAACAAGAGAAAGAAAAAAGGTTGAAAAAAAAATGAACAGGGCCTCAGGGACCTGTGGGTTAATAATAAAAGATATACCATTTATGTAATTGAATTTCCAGAGGAAGAGAGGAAAGAGTGCTGGTGCTGAAAAATATTTGAAAAACTAATGGCTGAAAACTTTAAGTTTGGCAAAGAGAGACTTGAGAAGTTGAATGAACCTGAAACAGTATAAACTCAAAGAAATTCACATCTAGACATATCATAAACAAACTGATGTGAAAACTAAAAACAATGAGAAACTTTTTGAAATCAGCTAGAGAGAATAATGATGCATTGCCTATAGCGAAATACCAATTCAAATGACAGTAAGTTTCTCATCAGAAATATAGAGGTCAGAAGGAAGTGGCAAAACATTTCTCAAGTGCTGAAAGTAAAGAATTGTCAGTCCAGAATTCTATGTTAAGCAAAAATATACTTCAGGAATGAAGGTAAAATTTTTTAAAATTTCAAATGAAAGAAAGCTGAAAGTGTTCATCGCCTGAAGCCATCCTTTAAAAGAATTTCTAAAGGAAGTTTTTTTAGATAGAAAGGAAATGATATCAGAAGGAAATTTTGAACTTTGGGAATAAAAAAATCAACATTAGAAATGGTAAATAACTGGTAAATTTAATAGATTATTCTCCTATTGAGTTATTTTAAACATATCTGAGGGTTGAAAGCAAAAAATACATTATTTCACAGGGTCACAGGGTATTAATTTTGTGTGGATATAATACACATGGCAACAACAACATAAACAGGAGTAGGTAAAAGGACAAAATTGTTGTCAAAGTTTTTACAAATCACTTGAAGTGGTTAAAACATAGATTCTAAGCATACTAAGAAAGGTAAGTATATATATTGTAATCCTTAAAGGAACCAAATAAGAAACTGCTATACAAATAGAATACTGAAAAATGTTTAAATAACCCAAAAGGAGACAGAAAAAGGAAAACAGAAGAACAAAAAAATAGAACAAATAGGAAAAAATAATAAAATGATAGAACTAACATATCAACATTTGTATTTAATGTAAGTGGTCTAAGTAAACTAATTAAAAGACAGATTGTTGTGACTCAACTATAGGCTGTCTATAAGAAATTCAATTCAAATATAATGACATAATAAAAGAATATGATGGAGAAAGATATACTATACAAACATGAATTTAAAGAAATCTGGAGTTTTTATTAAAATTTTTGCTTGCAAGCAAAGAAAATTAATACATATAAAAAAGGACCAAGAAGACTGAAGAATCTTAAATGTGTATGCTAATAACTGAGCTTCAAAATACATAAAGCAAAAACTGACAGGGTGGAAAGGCGAAATAGAGAAACTCATAATTATCATTAAAAAGTCCAATACTGCTCTCTCATTAGCTTATGGAACTAATAGAGGGAAAGTCAGCAAGGATATAGAAGACCTGAATGTCACCAGAAAACAAATGAATCTAATTGACATTTATAGAATACTCTACCAACAGTAGAATACACATTCTTTGCAAACGCACATGAATCTTTAACCCAGATACAGCATATTTAGTGTCATAAAACAAACTTTAACCAATATTAAACAATTTAAATCTTACAAAATGCAAGATTTGACATAATTGAATTAAATTAGAAATAAATAAAAAAGATGGTGAGAAAGTCTCAAAACACTTAGAAATTAAACACCAAACTGTCAAATAATACCCGAGTCAAGGAAAGGTCTCAATAGATACGATAAAATGTATTGAACTGAATGAAAATTAAAGTACAGTGTATCAAAATTGGTAGTATGCAGTTATAGCAGTGCTTAGAGGGATATTGAGAGCAATAAATGCTTATATTATGAAAGAAAAAAGATCTCAATTCAATAATGTAAGACTTCACCAAAAAAAAACCAAACTAGAAATAGAAGAGAAAAATAAACCTAAAGCAAGCAGAAAGAAGGAAATAATAAAGAATAGAAATCAATTAAATTAAAATCAGAGTATATAAAAACAAAAAAAAGATTCTTTTAAAATATTAATAAAATTGGTAAAACTCTAAGAAAACTATCCAAAGAAAAGAGAAGATAAAAATTATCAATATGAGAAATGAGAGTTGGGATAATACTACAGACCCCACAGACATCAACAGTATAATAAAACTATACTACAAACAACTCTACACATATTAATTCTACAACATAGATGAAGTGGACCAATTCCTTAAAAACCGCTAACAGCCAAAACTTTCTTAAGATAAACCAGACAACTGGGATAGACCTAATAGTATTAATGGAATTGAATTTGTAGTTAAAAACCTTCTGAAAAAGAAATCCAGACCAAGATTGTTTCACTGATTATTCTACCAAAGAAATAATACCATATCTACACAACCTCTTTCAGAAAATAAAAGAGGAAATTCTTTCCAACATTTTAAGGAGAGCATTGCTTTGATATCCAAACTAGACGAAGAAGTGCAAAAAAATGATAACTACTGATAATGTTATTACCAACACAGATGCGAAAATCCTCAACAAAACATTAACAAATAATCCAGGAATATTTTTAAAAATGCACCACCACCAACTGCAGTTTATCCCATGATGCAAGACTGATTCAGTATTTGGAAGATGATCAGTTTGATCTACCACGTTAACAGTCTAAGGAAGAAAAATCACTCCAGGTGCTTTTTCTATATCAATTAATATGAACATTATAATTAATATGAACATAATAATTAATATGAACATAATAATATGAACAATATAATATAACATTATATATAATTGAATTATTATGGTAACAAATTCAACATGATAATTTACATCATAATAGCATTTATAATAAAATTCTTAGCAAACTAGGTATAAAAGGAAAATTCTTAAACTTAATAGGACAGTATCTGTACAAAACATCTAGCATCATAATAATTGGTGAAAAACTGAGTGCTTTCCCCCTAAGGATGGGAACAAGATAAGGATATCCAATCTCACCACATCTATTCAACAACTTTGATCATATGGGAAGTCCTAGCCACGGCGATAATGTAAGAAAGAAAATAAGTGCATACAGGCTGGAAAGCAAGAAAGAAAACTCTATTCACACGTATATACATACGACTGCCTACGTAGAAAATCTCAGGGAATGTCCCGCCCCTGCCCAGCAAAAACAAAAACAAAAACCCTACTAGGTCTTATTAAGTGAGCTCAACAAGATCACAGGATACAAGGTCAACAGAAGACAAATCAGTCATATATGCTAGCAATGTATAAATAGAAACCAAAATTTACAAGAGAAAGTCATTTTCAATAGCTAGAAAGAATATAATACTTAGGTATATATTTAACAAAAACATGTATAAGATCTGTAACTCATCAAAAAGTGACTAAACACTGAAGAAAGGAATCAAAGAATCTAACTAAAGGGAGAGATATACTGTGTTCATGGATTGGAAGACTCAATATAGGAAAGATGTCAGTTCTCCCCAAGTTAAAAACACACTTCACCAAAGAGGATATAAGAATGGCAAATAAGCACATGAAAAGATGTTCAACATCATTACCTATTAGGGACGGCAAATTAAAACCACAACGAGATACTACTACACACCAATTTGGATTGCTAAAATAAAAGAAATATATACTCACAATATTAAATGCTGGTGAAGATATGAAACAACTGTGTCTCTTATACATTGTTAATGGGAATTAAAAATGGTACAGTCACTCTGGAAAACTGTTTGGCAGTATCTTATAAAGTTAAACATACTTACCATATGACCCAGGGATTATACCCCTGGGAATTTACCCTACAAAAATGAAAACATATGTCCACACAAAAACCTTTACACGAATGTTTATAGCAGTTCTATGTGTAACTGACCAAATCTGGAAAGACCCCTAGTGTTCTTGAATGTGGACAAATAAACTGTGGCAGATCCATATGGAATATTACAGAGCAGTAGAAAGGAATAGATATTGACATGCAACAGCTCGAATGAATCTCAAAGGCTTTATGTTGAGTGAAAGAAGCCGATCTCAAAGGGTTGCATGCTGCATGACTCTATTTATATGCTATTTGGAAAAGGCAAAACTATAGGGACAGAGACTAGTTCATGATATCCAGGGCTTAAGGGTGGTTGGAGGTTGTGACTATAAGGAAATAGCAAGAGGGAGGTTTTTGGGGTGTTGGAACTGTCTTTTATTCTGATTTTAATGATGGCTATGCAAATCCACAAATGTATTAAAAGTTATATAACTGTATGTCCCTAAAAAGTCAATTTTACTTGATGATAATTCAAAAAATAATATTGTTTTTAAAAAAACACGGGTCATTTCCAAAGTGATTGTCCCTCCACTCAGTTGCAACCATGTCCACGTTCTTAATCCTCAAAAGAATCACTACTTGGACATTCATGTCATGGCTACATGTTCAGAAGAACCACAAAATGAAGGCTTTTAAAGATAAATAATGCAATGAATGGTAAAAATCCTAGAAATATAAAAAGTAATTGTTGTTTGTTTTGTTTCATTGTTATTTTCACTTTTTTTTTCTTCTTGTAAACAGATTCATTTTGGAATTCAGCTTCCTTCAATACTGAGACTTCATACCTTCATTTCCCTACATTCCGAGGAGAGCTTAGTGCTGATGTGTCTTTCTTTTTTAAGACCACAGCTTTTTCGGGGGTGTTTGTAGAGAACCTGGGGATCACAGACTTCATCAGGCTAGAGCTGCGAGGTGAGTTGCCCACCCTGGACAAAGCCATGGGGTACTCAGTTATTAACAATAACCTTGTTAGTAACGTAATTTCTGATGTATTGCCATGCTTCCTTTGTCGGTTGTATTTCTTGATTAAATGCTAAAATTCTATGATTTTAAATAATTATTTTTAATAGAAAGTGAAACAGTGATTCACGAAACATACAACAGTCTATACAATTCCTTGTTGTCTTAATTCTATGTGCAATCAGGATATTAAACCAACCTGGTCAAATAACTGCTGACTAAATCACAAAATTATGTGATTTAATTGACTAGTCATACTGTTTATGTATGTAGACAAAGCTTAATTTATTACTTTGTGAATTTCACATAGTGCTTTTAAAACTATATTAAGATTTAAACCACCTTTAAATAAACTCACTTATACCTATGAAGTCAGATAAAATGTTAGTTGTATTTTTATAGGTAAATATCTCTATTGCTTAGGGCTTAGCAAGATGAATAGTAAACTCTAAGAAGAAGTATGTTAAAGTCAGCTTTGCTTTTTGCTTTTGCTTTTGCTTTTTTTTTTTTACCAGCTCAGACTGACATTTGTCTGCATCAATATCATGGTCTTCTTTCATAAGGAGCATGTCATGGTGCTTTTTTCATGTCTACTCAAGACCAAATTTTCTCCCCTGTGAATGAACTTGACCAGCTCTCATATCTTTATTTCCAGCCCCTGCAGAAGTGACCTTTTCCTTTGATGTGGGGAATGGACCTTGTGAGGTCACGGTGCAGTCCCCCACTCCCTTTAACGACAATAGGTGGCACCATGTGAGGGCAGAACGGAACGTTAAAGAAGCATCCCTTCAAGTGGATCAGCTCCCTAGGGAGACCCAAACTGCCCCAGCTGATGGGCACGCCCGCTTGCAGCTCAACAGCCAGCTCTTCGTGGGTGAGTGCTGCTAGCGGCTTGTAACGGAGCTGTGCTGTGAATGCAGAGGTGGACCGAGAGAAAATCACAGCTACAGCAGTAGTGATAATAGTAATGGCCACAGGGACTACTATCGGCCCTGGTGGGAGGCAGAGATATTGAATAAAATCCTCTGAACTGAGAAGGAACTTTGGGACTGCAAATCGAAGCAGGCAACTCCGTAAAGTGCAATTATGAAGTTTATTGTGGGTAACTTACATCCAGGGGACGATGAGCCAGAGACGTTCACAGCTGCACTGCGTGCCATGGAAAAGGCTCCTGGGGGATTTAAAGGAGACAAAACTAAAAATAGAATCTGATTACCAAGTGAGAAGCACCCATGGTCAGGAATCGGGATTTTTTCCTCCCCAAGGGGGTCTCATGACCATCTGCATCAGCAAAAGGCACTCTTCCAGTTTTCATATTAGATGAAGGCAAGGGTAAAGGTTGATAAGGAACTTATCTGGCTGGGATGCATTCCGTGTGAGTAAGCTAAGGCTCAGTCCCCCAGAAAGAGGAGGGGGTGGGACTGCGGGCCTAAGATGGAGCTGACAAAAGGGAGTCAGTGTGGTTCAGCCACACAGACACTATGTACCAAGAGCTCATTTAATATAAATATCTCTGCTATAGATTATTGTACCCAATTTGCAGATGAGATCATGGAGGCTCAGAGACATCAAGGGACTTAACCATAGAAACACAACTGGAAGGAAAATCCAAACTCGTGTTGGACTGATTCCCAAGCTTGCACGTAATATCATAGACGATTTATGTTTGTTTCAATTACTTCTTATCCATACTATTTATAAAACAAATAGCAATTTTTATCCATTTCTCTCACTTCACTTCTCAGTATAGTTAGAGAACCAGCCCCGTAATTGGGACAAAATCCTCCAGAGTCCCCTCAGAAACAGGCCATAGGAGCCTAGGGAGGCTGAGGCAGCCTCGTGTGACTGGGCACAGCAGGACTTTCCCCAGCCCAGCACCTGGTTCCTCTCAGTCCTGCACCCCCTCTGCTGCTCTCTTGTTGCAAATGCCTTGTTTAGACGCAGAGCTGGCTCATTATTCTGCTGTCCATTCTTTAAAGATTAAAGCTCTGGGTAGTGGGAGTCTTCCCTCTAACTTACGTGCTTATTCTTTATTATTGTTTGTTTTTCCCAAAGGGAGAAACAACTTTTGCTACATTGCTTTTTAGATTATTCTAATTTGGAAACTAAGCAGATTAACGAAATAGCTCTCACTTGGTCTTTTCTCACATATTTTAAAGTAAATAAGGACACAGTCCAATGAAAAATTGATATAAATCACAAATTAGCACACAGTCTGCTTTGCCAGGTGATACCTACTGCTGTGTCCAGGAACTAATGCTATTCAGTGAATTTAAGTGTGTGTGTATGTGTGTGTACGTATACAGCCCATGGCACCATAAAACAGCTTCAAGCACAGTTAGTTCTTACTGACTTGAGGCTTCATTTTAAATTATCAAACTGCAAATCAAATTAAATAATTCTATTTTCTGATTTATAGTCCTGAGGATTAATTAGCGGAATTTCTAGGAACAGAGTTTGGATGGAAATCTACCTAGAACTAGTGTTTCCACTATGGTTATGTTTCTAAAGCCTGAGGAGTTAGTTGAAAATTCAGATTTGGGGTACCTTCCCCAGGCCCACTGAATCAGAATCTTGTGGAATAAATCCAAAATCTGTTTTTAGCAAACACTCCAAGTGACTCCTGTGCTCCCATATTTATTATGCTCACATGAGAAATGATAGAAATATAGGGGGATATATATTATTTGGTTAATGTTATACCACCTGACCTCAGAGCCGCCAGGATGGAGTATGAAAGGTCTGAGGTGCTAAATTTTGGTTTTACCCCTTCTGCCTTCTTTTTCTTTGTTCTTGCCTCAGTTCCTTTTCACAGCTTTATTAGTGAGAGCTCTTCTAAGTAAGAATTAGTATTTTATATATGTGTAATAGATATGCTATATAAATATATATACAAATTTGTAATATATATTATATTAAATACATACACAAATTTATATATTACAAATTTATAATATATATTACATCGCAAAGATTTTTAAACTATGTAACCTTTATTATGCATGTCATTGTTTGTAAATTTAAACTTTAAAAAGGATCGATGGTGTTTATTTTGTTCTTTAAGAAAGGAACAATGTAGGGGCTTCCCTGGTGGCACAGTGGTTGAGAGTCCGCCTGCCGATGCAGGGAACATGGGTTCGTGCCCCGGTCCGGGAAGATCCCACATGCTGCGGAGCGGCTGGGCCCGTGAGCCATGGCCGCTGAGCCTGCACGTCC